CAACTCTTGAGTAAGTCCTTTACAATAAAGGGGCCTGCAGCACAACAGATACCACACGGTAATTTAGAAGGAGGTTGGCTCAGAGCACATTAGTCGTGATTGACTTCCGATTTCTAGGAAAAGCAGTCCAATAAATCTTGGGTCAAAGCCAAGACTTTTCATTAACAGTTTACTAAACCGAAGTTGGTAGTGAATGGCTGGAGGGAAAACTAGCAGAGGAAAGTGATCTTGGGAACTAAAAGCAGCAACTGTATAAAAGTTCAACAGAGCTGGACTGTTCCTATTTTGTTAAAGGTCCTGATACAATGTCACATGAAGGAGCTTATAATCATGGATGAGTACAAGAGACTTAAAGCAGGTAAGAGGAAAAATTGTGAAGGTCGCTGCTTAAAGGAGAAATGCTAGACTGGAAAGAAACTACTATTGGAGTTCCTTGAAGCCTCCTTCTACCTAACGATTTGGTCAACTAACCTGGCAAAAGCTGAATTTACTAATGAAGTTTGCTGATGACCAACTGTCAATATGTAATGTGAGACCGCAGACCAGAAAGACAGATGCAACAGGATTGCCTCTAAAGCTGGGTAATAGAACTATGATGCAATCCAATGGTACAAGCAACTTACAGCAGAAATCAGAGTTTGGCTATGGGGTGCTGGTGAATCTCCAGAGTGCCACAAGTCACTGACATCATGTAGCCAAAGAAAGAGCAAAATGACACCCAAGGATGCATGAGGAATGACATGTCTAGTAGAGACAGTGAAGAACAGGTGACATTGTGCATGGCACTTGTAAGACCCTACCCAGAATAATACTTGCCAAAGTGTTTACCTATGTCCAAAAAACCCAGCACAAAGAAGGCGCAGAGAACAGTGACTATGAAAAAAAGAAAGGAACAGGAAGGTAATCTTACAGGAAAGTGATGAAAGAGCTTTGCGTAGCATTGCAAAACAAAGTCTGAGACAGAACATGCATACACTGAATAAACATACTGCCAAGTGACGATCCAGAAAGGAAAAACTGCTCTTTAAGTCAAGCAAAAAGAACAACACAGGAACAAACAGAAATAAATAGATCACCAAGAAAATGTGGAAATTGATACAGTTTCAGCTGTCAGAGAAATGATGTTCCAAAAAAATCTTCTACCAACAGAAACAAGGCATTAAAACCCAATGAACATTCGAGGTAGTCTTGGACAGATTTTATGATGTAGCTTCTGCAGTAGCTGCAGACAAAATACAGTGAACCAGATTTCCTGTCGCTCCTGTATGCTTACGTGGCAGATAGAAGGCTTACCTTTACACAGTCCTCCAAAGTCCTACATGGCACTAACTCTGTCTTGTTAACAGAAGCTGAAACATGGCAAGGCATTATGTCTTGCTTGGGAGAACAAGGTCTCCATTCGGTCTGCATGTTTACGTAAGCAAGAGTCCCACAGTGTCCCACCATGGAAAGCATCGTACCTGCAGCGCTGGCTGTGTGTAGCCATCAGGGATCCTGAACACAGTGCTCAGAACATGCTTCACAAATGCTCCCTCCCTCCTCTCCAGCCATATTTAAGCAATTCAAACCTAAGCTGTACACTTATCCTCTCAACATACCTCTCTCCAGTTTCTCAATGTCATGACGTGAACAGACTAGAAAAGAAAAAAAAAAGTTATTTATTTACAGTTGCTCATGCAGCCTGTGGTATCCTACAGACCCACCAGAGCAGGCTGGTACAGATGAAGCTAAATAAAGCAACCCTCAAGCTTGGCATGGCAGCAATAAATTGGATGTTTACATTCAACAGAAAATATCCTTTACATGGCCTTACAACCCATCTGCTCCAAGATGCCATCCCTCACTTCTTCCCTTACTTCCATGTGCCAACCTATAGGCCACCTCTCTTTGCTTTTTCACAGTCAGTCCGCACTGCAGGACAGGAAAAGTGACTAGGACATTCCTTTTATCATTCCATGAAATAGAGTCTAGTTTTCCCTGCTGCCTTATTTTCTTCTGTTTACTCACTAGAACATTTAGGACACAGAAATTGAAGTCTGGGACAGAGGAGATGTCAGTAAAGTAATGCAAAGTCTACCCGGAAGCAGCATGAACCAGGATACTGTGAAACTATGACAATGTCTTACTTAGCCTTGGCTAAAACCAAATTATGGCACACTTCTTTAATCCCATGACATTAAGTGCACAAAGAACCCATCCCTGATTCACATTCCCATAGAATAAAAAATTGCCCTTCTCCAGAAGATGAGCTACCATCAACAGTGAATGCCCCATGTTTTTATTAAAAACTCCCCACATTTACCTTTGTTCCAAGGTAAAAGATCTGACCACCACAGCTGCTGATGGACTGATAACAAGCTTTCTCTCCAACCAATGCCTACAAGGAGAAAAATTACACACAAGTAAAACTCCTGTTTCTGTAAAATTTCCCAAGAAATATATATACACTTGAGCTCTAGAGACACTTTGTAATTCAGAAATCAAAATGAGGATTGGGAGAGCACACCACCAATTGCAGAGGAGTAGTAAGTAAAAAAGCTCTGCTGTCACTCCTTCCTGCTTGTGAACGCAGCTTAAAGGGCTGCTGAGTTCTCACTGCCCAGAAAACATGACGGAGTCATAAGGACCCCCAAGCAATGCTCTCTGTGTATCCTCAGATGCAAAAAAAGTTACGGAGGCTCTTTGCTTGCCATCCTCTTCTTCACAAATCTTCCTGAAGAGCAAATGTGTAGGACATAGAGATGGAAAGAATACTGTTGAAGTGAGAATTGTGACCACAGAAGTCTGAATGGCAGTAACTAGTGTTCAAAAGGCCCATTTACAACGTGAGAAATGGAGGATCACATCAAAATTAGAGATTTTACCACAGTGCATGGGCAGTGCTTGCTTCCCACTCTGCTACACAGGCTAGAGCTCTTTGTCCTGTACTTTTCTCAGTCTGGTCAGGGAGGGAAGCTTCCTGGATCTCTTCCCACTGCTAAAAAAAGAGTGTCCATTCCAGGGACTGCCATAACAACACTTCAGTCTGCTCAGCACAGTACCTAAGGCTGAAGTAGCAGATATTCCCGGCATCTTTCTTTAGACGCTGCAGAAGAATGGGGTCTGACAGTCTTCATCCGCAAACCTAGGCATCTCTAAAACCAGAATATCTCTTAAGGGAGTAGCAGCCTCATCTAAGATTTGCTTTCCTGAGTGCCTGCAGAACTAACACAGGAAAAGGTTGTTTCTGATCCTCTGAGCCACAGGAAAAAAAAAAGCTTTCCATCAGAAGTTGTCCTTGACTCAATTGCTCTGGAATAGGTTGTCTTGTAATCCCTACCAAAAAACTTCTGGTTCATATCCTCAGTATTTCAAAATAGCATTATAGACTTCAGATCTTATCTGCCATTTACAGTCTGTAATTAAGTAGGGGTCTTTTCTAGACTCACAATAGCATTTTAACAGGCAGCACTCATTTGGGCCCACCAGTTTTTCAAGTCACATGCCTTTGGTTTTGATGATAATCACCAGAAGTCCTCACAGGACACTGCAGTTTCTGGAACTGAGTGAAAGGCTCTGAGTAACGACATATTCTAGCAAGGAGAGCTCATATACCACATCAGTGCCAATTTCTAGCTATGTTCTGAGAGGTTGTGCCTGGCAATGCCAGATCATGTGGCAGCAGTATATAAGCTAACTTAGACTAGACCCCAAGTTCTGACTCTCTCTTCCTCAGTATGCACCTGCAGCAGACAGAACAACAGCAATGCTAGCAGCGTGAAGCAGATAAAGCAGCAAAAGCCAGATAAGCAGCAACTATGCAGATCTAAAGGCTGCAAAGACTCCTCATAGATCTGGCCATTCGGACTGGAAGAAGCACTCTGTTCCTTAGTGCTCAAAGGGAACCATGACAGAGAAGCCTCTTTTTCTGAAATCCTGCCATCTTGCATTGAAGGCACTTCTCCTTGGGCTTCTGGAGCAAAGTTATGACCATGTGCCGGGTGTCAAATTGCAGATCCAAACTACAGACCCACATGAGCTTTCTACTAGTTGTTTGGGCCAGCGAGTCTCACAGGGCTATAGCAGAATTGAACAGGAACCATATCATCCAGCTGTGGAATTTCAGAACCCCTGCGCTATACGTCTAGTGAAGCACTGAGAGGCTTGAATGCAAGGATGGAAGGCCCTTTCCTACACACACTCTTGGCAAACTGTTTCCAAAATACAGAAAGTGATTTCCTACTGAAAGCAATAACTTGTCCCACAACCACAGCTTTAGGAAAAAAAAAAAAAAACCTCCACAATGCTATGGTAATACAAATGCCACAAAGTGAATCTGCTGTAGAAGGCAGAGGTAGGTTACAGGAGCTATCAGGAGCCACTGAAATCAACACTTAGTTCAGGAAAAAAAAAAGTATGTCCAGATACCACATGGGCCAGGGTCCAAAAAAAATAAATACCAAGCAGGAAAATCAAAATAGAAGACAGACAAATAAACAAAAGAGGAAAAAGTAGAAAACACCATGTTTGAAGAGTTGCAACTTCCACTAGTATGGATGTTTTTGGTTTTTTACTTCAAACAAGAAAGAAGTGTAGTACCTACAAGTGTAGGTACTATGTTTCATCCTCTATACCCCTGCATGACAGTCTGAGACACAGGCAGGGGATTCACATACTGCACAGGCACTGCTCGGACAGCGTATTTGTGGCATACCAAGCAGAAAAGCCTGTAGGAATCGCTTGAAAAATAAAGCACATCAGCTTTTTTCCTGTTCAGAGTATTCCAAAGCTTGGTAACGTAGGAGCAGCTCCCAAACACATCAATGCACAAAAGGAAACATGAACTATCTGTTAGTTGGCCACATCAACGCCACGTGTGATTTCTGAGATGCTTTAAAAAGGTTTTTTTCAAAGCTCCAGGCTTCCACTTAGGGCATATCTGAACCGAGTTAGCTAACGCAAGCAGGTCATTTGTGCCTACCAGGGCTTCACTGACGTTGCCTCCCGTAGCCAGGGATTTGAAGTGGCTGCTGTTGTAGACTAGCTGAACTTCTGAGATCTCTACGGTCTCCAGCTCCTCCTGTGTCTGACGATCTATAACATGCAGCTTCTCCACACTGTCCAGAAGCACTGCTGTCCGTGAGTTTATCCACTGAAAAAGCAACAAATCACGGATTTCAGCAATGTGTACACAATTAGAGGCCAATGAAACAGGCTCTGGCCGTATCCCCGAGTATCAATACCAGAAGTTCTAGGATGGCTAGTAGCTGTGCTACTATACATGGTCACTTCACAACAGCACCCAGGCATAACTCCAAAGGTAAAGACAGGGAGGGTCCTTCTGGAGTATCAGCTTTAACACTGAGAAAAATTACAAGGAACCTTCTTCACAGAAAACACCTGTAGAAAAATGGCAATCCACCATTGGTCCTCTTGGTGCACTATTTATGCTCTAGCACACTTTCTATCCAAAGGTCTCAAAACCAAGACTACAACAACACCTGTTCTCAGATCCCTTAGGAGGTAAATATGGCATCAGTAGGCATTAAAAAGAGAAATAGTACATCTAACTCAAAACCTGTCATTCCTGTTCTGTGGCTTCTACTTTTTTTTTGGAGGTTCAAAACCCTGCAAATAAAAAGGCTTTTTTTTTCCTGCTTTTACAATTATTTTTTTTAAACAGCCAAGCATATTTGATAACAAACTTCAAATTCCAGATGATGTGGATGTCCATCTTGGTATTTTGGTCTTTCACGTATTTACTCCCTGTATCGTGTTTTAGAGTTGAACAATGTTTTTTGTTGAAAGCATCAAATAATTATAGTGCTTTAGAAAGCACTCATATGGAGACACTAGAATTTTACTGAGTCAATTACACAGAAGTTTGCATTCTTTTTAGTGAGAATATAGAACAAAAAAATATTTCTTGTGAGATTCTCTCTGGCTCTTGAAAGTATTTGCTCAACAAGGTTACCTCTCCTTCCCAAAGAAAGGGCAGTATCGTTGCCTCCATGCTACTAATTTTTTATCCTTTAGCTACTACTTGCTCTTTCACTCGTGCTGGTTTTCCACCGAGTCCCTAGTTTAAGGGCATTTTCAGTTAGTTAGCCCCAGATAAACACAGCCACTTCTTACGTTACCTTTGTAAAGCCAATAGGATAGAAGTAAGGGCACTGAGATACAAGAAAACTAGTGTGAAAAAAAAGTAACAATTCTACAGTATGGAGACTTACAGTAAAGTTGATGAGGTCATAATGTAGATGAAGCTGTCTCTGCTTAGTGACATGTATTGCACCAGAATCATCTCTCTTTACCTAAAAGAGAAATCAGACAAGGCGGATTCAAACTCAAAGAGTTTCTTCAGCTCAACCTCTCTGTTCCCAGAGGGCATCACACCAATGCCAGCAGTCCGGAGGTCCCCTCAGACAAGCACGCTGAGCGTGCAGTAGCAGCACGCACACTTCTCAAATGGAGCACAATGTCTCACTTTCAAAAGCATTCATTCATGTAAGTGAGGAAACAGAAGGCTCTGAGCAGGGGGCAGTAAAAATATATGCCCTTTGCTGGATCAATTTTAAATCATTCAGTTGTACTACAAGAGTCGTATGTCAAACAAGCTGGCACTACATCTGTTCAAGGGATTGTTGCCCTCTGCCCTGCCTCACATATTCTGTAACACAATTCGGTTTCTAAAAGGGGTGCAAACCTCCAGCATTCGTACAGAGAGCACCGAAGGAAGGCTGGACTCTCATTCACTGACTTCCAAGGGGCTCAGCCCCACTGGAATACTGAAATGAAGGGTGATGTTGCATGACAACTTCCAGTCAAGGGTTCTGTCTTGTTCCATGCAGGAACTACTGTACTTTCTGCTTGTAAAAGTCAGAACTACAGATCGCTATTGTGAAACTGGCTTTAATTCATCATCATTAAAAATAGAGTTCTGCAAAGAAAAATAAGGGGTTTTTACATTTTGACAATTTGAAGTACAGCAAGAGGGACCCGAATTCAGGTAACATGGCTGCTGTTTAGTAACCTAGAAGCAGAGCAGCACCACAAGCCATAGCTGAGATGAGTATCTGTGCAGAGGTTCGTGCTATTGCATGCACAGACATCTCCAGCAAGACAGGCTTAAACATACACCCTTTTCTTTCTCCCCAAGTTCACCAAGAGAGAAGACAGAGGACAAAGACAATTCAATCCAGACTACACAATGTCTAGGTGCTTGAGTAAAGCTTAAGGTTCAAGATGATAGCAGAGGTGGGAAACAAACTTATCACAGCAAAGCCAAAATGTCAGATTTTCTGAAGCCTAGGTACTGCTTTCATACTGAAATCAGACACGAAATCATCTTCAACCAATCATATCTGCATGTGTAACTTCTGCAGATCTAAACAGGACAAGTGGCATGCCCTAAAGCGACATGCCAACAGGACCTGAAAGCTGTTATCTCTTCGTGGTTTATACAAGTTTTTTGCAGATTCATATTTTAAAGCAAAAAATAAAACAGTATCTCAAATTCACGTGATCTCCTTGAAAACAATCCACATTCTTCTACCTCCAGTAGAAATGAGATAAGCTGCAAATCAACACTTCTGGAATGCATAAAGCTCATGCCTCCAGATTTTCAGAGTAGGGCACCGCTGCTTGCTGAAGAGCAACAACCAACAGGTTTGTTTTCCTGAGCTGGGTGCAAGCTGCAGACATCCCTAGCATGCACATGTATCATATTTTCACTGAGACAGAGGCTCAGCCAACTGAATATGTGAATAAGACATGACTATCTGAAAACCAGCATAAAACACGTAAGGCTTACCAGAAGAAAATGAACGACGTCTCCTCGACAAAATGCAAGCATGGGGTTCACAGAGCTCTGTACGGCCACAAAGTGCCACGCCAGAAGAGGGACACTGGAAGGGTCCATCTGTTAGAGAAAGAGCACAGCCGGTATTTAAGATACACAAGGCAGAGTCTCAGTTCCAGGACACATGCTGTTCATCAGCTGCTACTCACTGACTTTGCCATGGACAGACACAGGCTGTAAAGCAATTTCCTGGTCTGTTGGCAGCCGAGCAGTAGCTTGTGCTCTTTGGTGCACCCACACGGCTCAGGGGCAACGTGTGTCTCTTGGTAAAGTGGACGGGCAGTCAGAACAAAACCCGTGTCCTAGCTGCTTGATGTAGATTCAATCTCACATGGATTGACGGACTACAACAAACTACAGCTTGCTAGCAGCCTCGTCTCCATTCTCCCAATCTAAAATATCCCACATCTTCCCCCAGCTGCTTTTCCAAGAGGAATTATACCAGCAACTAGTAAAAGTGAATAATCAAGAGTTTAGAAGACTGTTTAGAGCTCTAATTCCACTTTGTTTCTGTCCCTGCAATTAAGGGTTCTATTGTATAGTTCTTATGTAAAGCCATGGCCTCAGCCCAAGTCGACTGCAGCCATAATCAGGTCAATGTCCATCTGTGGGTGCGTCCAGGCTGCAGCAGGAAAGACAAGAAGCTGAGGGGCTCCTGCGTTCCCTTCCTTTCCTACTTATTGGAGAAATTCAGCACCTTCACATAGGTAACAGCCGAACACAGCCCTTTCACCTCCTCTCTGCCCACAATCTGCACGCATCAGACCAACAGACTATCACTGCAATTCCACACTGCACAGTTAACTGCCTGCTGATAAAGCAGCGATATCCTAATCTCATCCCCTTATAGGAACTGTTTGTAGCCATAATTCAAAAAGCAACTGTTTGGCTTCATTACTCACCCGACCGTAGGGAAAGGTCATCCACACTTTCAGAGATGGCTTCAGGCCAATAACCAGTATCTTCAAAAAAACCAGAAAGGCAAAATAAAATGTTTGAGTATATACCAGAAAACTTCTCCTTTGTGATTTCTCACACAAAGCCTTCTGCAAGCAGCAAGTTACCTTTGTTAGGGAGGCCATGGCCAGCAGTGAATACTGGGTGATAGGATGGTCTCTCAGCTCAACTTTTGCATGTAATGGTTCAATACAGCAAACTTCCCCCTTTGAGCCACTGAAGAGACATCGAGATTCACACGTTCTCACTCCCATAACCCTCCTGCAAAGAAGAGAAATCGGCTTGGTTGCCAGCTATCAGAAAGAGATCAGCCCAACAAACTCATGAAATCTCAAGAGTGATCCTTCATAAATACTATTTTTAAGAAGTCCTTTACACAGCTCTAGGGATCACTTTTAGTGCGTCACTGGAAGCAGTCCCATACAGCTGCTCAGATACAGACAAGAATTCCTTAAGATCTTATTTAACAGTACAGTTTTGGAAATTCCTGGACACAGTCAGACTCCCTAGACTGTCAATCCTTCCTCCTTGTCCCTCCTCCGCTCAAAGAGGCCAAGAAGAAAGTGAGCAGTTACTGCAGGGCAGCTCTCGCTAATGAGACAAGGAAAACCAAGAGGCAGCACTTTAATGACAACTACCAAGAGCCCACAAGGAATGCCAAGATTCTGGACAATACATTACTAGCTTAATAATTTAGGTTAGTCTGATTATTACACTGCGAGATAGCATCTTGCTTCAGCTGTGAAGTTATACCGCAGCCCTAAATTACACCTTCAACATTCAGACCGTAGCTTTATTGGTTCCAATGGTGGTTTTTTGCTTAGGTTTTAGAAGATGTGACCCAGAATTAGTTTCTTGTATTTTCTATGGGTACTTAAGAGTTGTCGTCTTACTTAAATGACAGTTCAAATACGGAGCCTCCGCTGTCATTGCAAATTGCAAGCGTCGGGTCATCTGTAAACTGAGCAGATAATTAGATTAAAAGTGGCACTAAGAAATAAACTACCAAAAAAATGGATAGAAAAATGTCTGCTACGGTATTATTAACAGCACACAAAAGTAAAGTATTGTACCTACTAGAAAGGTTGAGTTGAGACAATTACTGGCTTTTTTTTAAGATGCGTAAGAAAAGCCGGGTTTTGTGTTTCATCTTCACCCCTCCCAGCAAGCCTCATTGCTAAATTTTGTTACCAAAGCCCCGTTACTTTCTATTGCAGCTCAGCACAACAGCAAACCCAAACCTGCACTAGAACAGCCCACAGCCTCAAGCCCATGGATTGGTGCCAGAGCTGGTGAATGGGCTGCAGTCACACACAGATCAAAATCAGAAACATCCAGAACTACTAATGATACCAAACAATCAAGATAAGAAAGGGTCACAGCCACAGCTGAGGCATCCTTTTCGAGGGCTTTGCAACCCAGCATCTAGCAGCAGAAGCATCTGGGCTGTATAGCAGTGTCCCAGTACTCTCCAATGCTGGTACTGCCATCAGGTCATGAGCTAGAGAAGGGGGACACTAAGAGCAGAGGATCTGGCACAGGGGAATATTCATCTTTATGCACAAGGCAAAGATAAAAGTGTGGAAGATGCAGCAGTATAGGGGCACCTTCACTTCCACAAAACATTTCTGGTTAGCCAGGTCAGACCAACCAGTACATGAGAACTTGTCCTTAAGCAACATGCCCCACCAGATCCACTCCACTAATTTCATGTGTGACACTATGTGTCTGGGACCTCTCCACAAGGTCCAGAAAAAGGAGTAGAGAGAGTAGAGTTCAGGGGACGCATCAAAGTCACTGCTCTGACCAGGCTGCCAAGGAGCACTATGCTCTGGTAGGAGAGGTCCACATAAAACAAAGCCATGCACAAAATCAGATACGAGTTTCTGTGTGTGACAAGAACACTATGTTGAACAAGAAGCCATAGATGATTTCTTTCAACTCAAACATTCCCAACAAGTTATTTGAAAAACTGCTGACAGAAGCTACTTTCCACACTTCAGACTCCTTTAAAATTAAAGTTGGCAAGTCATGTATCCAGTTCAAAGCACTGCAAGTTTGAGAGAAATTTATCCTAGCAACTAATTCATCATAGATTTTGGCATCAGAGAGCAGTTATAACAGACAACAACTGTTGTTTGTTACAGTACAACTCACAGCTGATACTATTATTTCAGCTCTGAAAATACTCAGTTTCTTTTTTAAATAGAATTTCTGCTCATTTTTCTCACCTCTAGATACTATCGCCATATAGCTCCTAGGTAGCTTCTCTGATCTATAAATCTAAATGTACTACACAAGGCAGGTCAACACATCTGACTGAACATGTCTGGTTTTAAAAAAAAAAAGTAGTATACAAGGAGTACATGTAGCGTTTGTTACCTTGATGTGCAAAATGGCTGTTCCTGGTGGGTGGGCATCTGTTATTGACCGTAGCAGCTTCCCACTGGCCAGATCCCACATTGTGATCTGCAAGCAGACTGTACTCAGTTTATGTGTTTACTGCCAAAGGGTTGTCTCCATTACATTATGCATTAGTACATCAATAGATTTCTATATTCCCAATATCATCCTGGGTTAGTAGGGCCTTCACATCAAAGAAAACCTATCTGAAATCTGTTTCTACCTTGTTTTTACAAGCAGTTTACTTATCTGCTTATACTCTCATTGACAACATTAGAGTTATCTTCACAACTCTGAATCGTGTCCTTTTGGCAAGCTCTCACCACCTGCCCGAACTCACGCACCTCACAACTATCTGCCTGATAACACAATTAAAGAATGTGAGATAACTTTGGTACCACACAACACTGCTGAAAGTGGTTCGGTGCATTTCTCTCTCAGAATCAGTGAACAGTTGAATAATCTCTGCTAACACTCGTTTGCAAAACTCAAGCATGTCCACAGCTACCATGAACCCTGTCACTGCTCTCCTCCTGCGTTTGCTCAGCATGACAGGTCAGGTAGGAGTATAGAGCTTGGCTTGCACTTGGATATTAAATTCAGGCAATTTCTCAACTAAGAAGCAGGAAGTCCCACACTACTTACTGTATAACTGAGGAATATTTAGCCCAGAAGAGCTGAGATTACAATTTGAATCAAACTTTTTGTTGGAAATACTATTTTATGTGGTTCCATAAGCTATCTATCAAAGCTTCACAGACCAGATGTTTCAGAACTGCTGCTCCAAAATATTTGACATGAGTATCAATTAAAACTGGTCACTGCTCTGCATGGATCAAGTCTGTATTTCCACAAGGTCTGGAGCAGTCGGTCATTTGGCCCTATCATAGGCACTGGAGCGTATTTTATCTAGAATGAAGGTGAAAGGCAAAGAAGCAAAGGGAAATGAAACTAAAAAGAAAAACAAAGCAGACGCCTTTGTATTCCATGGAGCTCTAAATTTTACGAAGGTGACTCCTACCCATTTGGGTTTAGTTTTAGTCTTTTAATTTCTGTTCAGAAATTGCTTTCTCTCTAAGTTCAGAGAAGGGCATAAAACTACAACAGCAGACTCAAACCCTTTTTCCCCTGCAGTCAAAAGCTATGCTGCTTCCATCACACAACAGAAGTAAGGTATTAGTAAAAATGAACTTTAGGGCTATATGAGTTTCAAGAATTTCAGTCATCACCACAGTAAAAACTAGCTTTAATTACCAAGCCTAGATCTCACAAAGTGACCTAGGAAGACTAAGCTGGTTGTCCTGGTGTGCCATTGCACATTTCAGTTTAGCAGGAGCAGGACTTAGGTCACAACGAGCCATGAGCAGTTGAATCCTTCGCTATATTCCACATTACCCATTTCCTCCACAGAAACCTACCCCAAACAATCTGAGTTAGCTCAACAGATGCAGAAACTGGCTGGCCAAAAAAGCTCTGGGCAGATCAAGCCACGCATACTGCTTCTCAGCACAAAACCAGCTAACTAACAGCTACGTATTGAGTGTGCTTGGCTTGGAGTTATTGTCACCTCTGGAGAGTCTCTCAGTACCGGTCTGCAGAAGGACAGAGCACTGGACCATCTCGCCCTACGGGATTTACCTGTCCTTTGGCAAAGCCACACAGGAGCCTCGAACAGTCGTTGTTGATACTGAGAGCAGAGATAGCCCCATACTGGGCCCCCACAGCAGTGCTGCCCAGACACAGTCGAAGAGCCTGGTTCTGATCTAGGGCAGAACAATTAGTAAGAAATTAAAGAGAAAGAAAGAGCAACGATTAAAAATAACATCATGCAATTATTTACATATGCAATTCACTTCAGGTACATTAACGGTTCACGGGCTTAAAGTTAAGCTCTTTAAAAAAGTTTATAAGATGAGAGTATATGTTAGTACAGAGATAGTGGGACACTGTCTTACAGGGAAAGACAAAAATTATTTTAAAAACAGGCACAGGGAATATGGAAATGCAGAGGTATTACAAATTGAAGAAGAAACTACTAGAAAAATCAAAGCAATACCTAGCTTTCCTTTTACTATTCTGCAACAGTGCTTAAGTGGTAGCAAGGAAGATGACAGAAAATTAATTCTATCTTCTGAGCCTTATACTTCCATATCAACTACAAATTCCCAACACAGGCTTTTGGTAAGTGTAATTTTACATTACTTCTATTCCTCAGTTTTGTTGATAAAGGCCAGAAGCGGGAGGGAAAACAAATTTGTGTCCTCCAGCTGCACATTTAAAATGCTCCATGAGTTCTAGTGCACATAGCTCTTACTTTATAAGAAACAACTAACCATCACCACACTGTGACAGAGCTTCCTTTCCTGAGACACAGGCTACTGCAAAGGAGGTGCTAAAGCCTGCACAGCCTCCTAGGGAGCCGGCCTGCCGCACCGCCATGCCCTGTCTTGCCCCTGCAGATAACAACCAACAGGCACCTCTCTTCGTGCTAAGTTCTCGTATGCTTCCACTAGGAGAGACTAAAAATTGCTTTATAAGATGTTGAGCTTCAGGCATTATCAACAATAACCCTCTGCCTGTCTTTGGTGCATTGCTCTGAAAAGCTAAGGAAACAGATGTTCTGGATCTGCTTTTTCCACCTCTCTCCGGTTTTGTCCTGCTTTTGAGTGGGGGAGGAAGAAAAGATGCTTTGCTGGAGGACTGTTGGAATGAAGACTAGAGATCTGAAATACATCAGAAGCACCACAATAACACTGTGTACAGGATTTCACCTTGAGCCAGGAAAGGACAGGACAGGATCCAGGGGAACAGACAGCAGCTGAGCACTAGAAATCCCTTGGAAGAATTGCTCAAGGCACAGGACACATTTCACCAAGTTGTAGCACCACTAGCGACGTGCTAGATGTGAAACAGAGCATGGATGTGGCTCTCATTTCTTCCCCAATACAAAGTGATGTATTCATCAATCTGCACAGACTGATGGCTGAGTACACACACAGTGGGAGTCACCTTTCAAATTCTACCAGTATGAAGAGGCATTAGTGGGAGGACCTAAATAAATACTAGCAAGAATAGTACCGGAACTCATGGATTACTCTAAAGCACTGTTTAGGGTGAGGAGAAAGAGGCAAGGGCCAAGTCCTAACAATTTTTCCACTCTGTTCCTTGTTTTCCTGCATCTACCTTGATAAACTTGTCTGCTGTAGTGGTCCAAAAGAAAGGAAAAATTCCTTTTCCTGCAAAATATGGATAGTGGTAGCAGAGAAGTAGGGGTAGAGGTGGTGTTACAAACACCACTTGTTCTGCACACCAAAGATGACAGGGCCTGGGAGTGACAGAGAGGCCATGCTGTGTCTTGCAAATGCAGAAGGAAGGCTCAGGTATTATAGAAAACTGTCGGTTTTGATCTAAAACATGATGACAGTAGCGGTCAAGAGGACACCATATATTATGGGTGCTCAGAGACATCAGGGTTCTTGTGAAAGTTGAAGAGCTCGGCTCTTGATATCTGTGGGAGGAAAAGAGAAAGGTGCCTTCGGTTGACCAGGTCAATGAAAATCATGATTTCTTCATCAGGTGACAAGCAGCCCAGGCAGTTCTGGAAAAGGCTACCTGTTCTGCATGCACTTCTGCTCTGCTGTGCTGCAAGGAAGAAGGAAGCATCTCCTCTTTCTTTCTCTGCAGTCTGCCTTATGCCAAACGCAGAACAAAGGAGCTGCATTTTCAAGTGAGAACTGACACTTGCATGTTTACACTTAAAAACATTTGATGAAGATACTGCTTCTACTGTAAGAGATGTTCAGTTAAACTACAGGTAGATGAAGATTATTTTTCACAGTCAAATAATCAGAAACTACGTAAAACACTACTTTTCATTAGCTTTCCAAATGAATGTAACATTGTTCTAGATAAAATCCTCTGAAAGCCAAGGAGAATGCAAGGGTTCGAACTGGCTGAATCTACATGTACAGAAGCAGCTCTGAAAGCTCTGAGTCACCCAAGTTACTGTTTAAACAGAATCTAAATTTTATAAGCCTTGACACTCACGTTTAACTAAACAAAGGACATATACAATTCAAGTGACTATAATGTGAATGGTTGCCATCATTCAATATGTAAGAGGAACATGGAGCCAAAACTCCTTCAGTATCACTATGGTGAGAACTGAGAAAAGGAACACGCAATTCATTGCATCTGCCACTCAAGCACAATGCAGAGCCTTCCTGAAGGTCAGTGATGCCACGGAGCCACAGCAAACCACAGAACCTTCTGCTCCAGGGGCCAGGCAGGGTGTTTCAGCCACCACCTCTATTACCAAGCACAAGGCAGTGGAAATGCTCCAAAATTAAGGTCACTGCTCTGCAGGCAACCCTCCTTATCAGGATAAGATGAAAGCAGAAGCCACATGATGGAAATAAAAGCCATCCTTTGCCATGCTACTAGAAAATACCTTGACATCACTGTGACAAGGGTGTACATGGCATAGATCAAAACAGGTCAAAGAAAAAGAAGAAAAACGATGGAAGACTTCCGTGGAAGCTCAGAGAACACAGAGCTACAGCTGGAGAGCAAGTTCCCCAGAGAGGTCTTCTCCAAATGGTGTCCTTCAGGTCCCAAAGAAATAATTCCTGTTCCAGAGGTCTGGAAACACAGTTCATCTACAAGAAGACCATCTGCTAACCATAGAAATATGTATAAATAAAAGGGGAATACTGCAGCTCTTGCTATTAAAGGTAAACTGCATTCTGTTCTTTCCACTTCAGCTTAAACCTCTAAGTCAATCAATAACCTCTTTCCTGTAAGGCATGAAAAAGGAGAATCTTTCATAGCTTTCTCTGAAATGGGCAGCAGCTTCAGAATCACTACTACTTTCAACCCAGCGTTACATCTTTATATGTATACCCACACGAACTTTCAAATCCATTTTCTTCTTCCCTCACCCACAATCGTCAATTCAAAATAAACAAGACCCTCACTCTGCCAACATAATTAAATGCTTTGCATGACTCAAGCTATTCCTTCCTAAGAAGGGAGTGCCCGTTTTTTGCCAGAGATGCATTTTCAGAGCTGAGAAATGATCACCTGGAAAGCTAACCCCAAAGAAACCCCTGCCAGTACTTGTTCTTGTTTCCAGTCAGTCAAAAGATGACACACAAGGAAGAGCCATTAGATAAGATTTTAAAAAAAAAAAAAAAACAAACTACAAACAAGATGGATGAAATTGCTTCCAAAGCAAAGCAAGATGCATGAATCAATGAGCTCCCATTAATCAGCTGGTAGAGTAATAAAAATGAATAAAGGCAAAAAGTTATAAAAGCTGATCTGATGATTTTCCAGACTGGTATTATCAGCTTTGAATTAAGGCACATTTAGGATTAAGCATAAAAAGCTTTTTCCAAATGCCTGAAACAAAGGTGGCTATCAATTGTCAAAACAAAAAAAAACAACACATTTTTAATTTTGCAATTGACATAAAGCAATTCTTCATTTGAAAAATTTCTGGCAGTAACTATTTGTGTTGCTTTCAAAGTCTGAAGTCAAAACAAGATGGCACTTTGAGACAGCTCCACAAGTAAAGAATAAAAACAAGTTTGTGAATATGAAATAAGTCGCTTTCCAGAACAAAAGAATAAGCATAGCACTCCAGAAGTTATTATTTCTCAGATCACCAGGTTTTCATCAAGATCTTTTCTTGAAGCCATGATTTTCCCAAGTTTGAAAGGCCTGCTTTATTTCCTGCAGAATTACTCACATATTACACCCTTTATGAATAGGTCCTTTCCTCCCACCTTTACTAGGCCCAGTACCAGTAACTGCTCTCCCAGGAGGCACATCCCTCTTGGGCCTGGGCATCAAGAGGACAAGGGATGGTGAGCTAACGGGACAGGCTGCAGACATCGTCTCCCCCAGTAACACAACAACTCTCCCCTAAAGCAGGGCATGCTGAACCCTCCTCCCCATCCCCTGCCCTCAGCTCAAGCTGGTAAAATGATCACTCAGAGCAAGGGGTTAAGTCAGACCACTTGTAGCTACTGCATCAGGAACCCCCTGCTCCCTCCTCAACTGCACAACTGGTCCATGAGCAGGGCTTTCAGAAGTTGCTGTCTGCTTGCATGGGTTTCACAGAGCTCCTGGCTCTTTGAATTGGGTTCCTGCTCCGTAGCGTTCCCACTTGACAATTCTCAGGAAGAAATGGATGGTGATCTCGGGGAAGAGACTTGGTCCTGCCCCAAAATAACGCCTTTGCAAACAGCTATGGATCTGCTGCCCTAAAACATTACAAATAGTACATTTACCTGTTCCTCTGCTGGTTTTGCCTGGAGAATTTGGAAGCGTGCGATGCACAGGCACTCAATAACCAATTCCTACATTGGCTAGCAGTATTATCCACCGCCTGCTTACTGCGCTGCCTTACTTGCTGCTTATCTGGCATCTGAAATTCTGGCACAGACAACATGCAAACTGGGCAAGACAGGAGTTGTTCATGCAGGGTACGTGCACAGTGCAGTGTTACTGTACCTTTTCCTTTTCAGTCCACAGAGAAAGGGCCAAAAGAGGAAGGAAAAAGTCAGAAATCAATATAAAAGAAAGGAGTGAAGTAACAAACAGCATATATGTGATAATCTTCAAAGACAGAGAGAACTTTCAGATTTTGCTGATAGTGTTTCCTTTTGTTAACATTTCCCATTTTGATTTGTTCAAGTAACTGAGAAGATGCTGTGATAGCTAGTGTTTTAAAACCAAGCACTTTAAAAAGTGTATGGAATCACTGAATAAAAATGAGTTTATAAATTTGAGTTTCATTGCATTGAAGACAAAAAAAAAAAAATCTGAGAGGAAACAAGACTGGAAGTTCAGTGACAAAACTGATAAAACTATTTTCAACAGTTACCACCAACCAGCCAATCAACTCCCTATTAACTTCAAAAAGCAACCAAGGACAACAGTCCCCAAATTCTAGTTTTAATGCTGTCTTTAGGTAGTTATACTACTTGTTCTCTCAAGATATCATGCTACCCCCACACCTCAACAAAGACTCAGGACACTAACCATAAGCTTTAGAGTCAACAAAGAAAATAAATGGTTCAACACTAACAAAACCAAAGTTTAGCTATATAGAAATTTTCTGTCCAGAACATCAAGTCTCCATGAAAAAGAACACATTGCAATGAGTTCTGTTTAAGGGCTAGTTTTGAGTACTGTAGAAATCTCTTAGCTCTTCTAGAAAGACAGAAGGGAAAAAAAAGCTCTAAAGATTATTTGTTTATTGCTATAGGCTTGCTGGGAGAGCACTTCCCCACTTCAGCTAGCAATCCTCAAGAAAAGTCATGGCACACAGCAGAGTTATTCATTAACACAATGCTCACATCTCCAAACAAGTTTCAGAAAGAATTTGGCAAAACGATGGCCCTCATTTATATATTAAAAAAATAAATAAATAAAAAAATCCCCCAAGCAAACACAGCACTATAAACCAGCAAAGGGTCATATTCCTAAGGCACAAAAACCTGTCATTATCCAAACGTAGTAACAAAGCACTAAATGGCAGATAAGCTACCTAAGAGACAGGTCAAAAATCAGAGCACCAAACTCTTCTCAGTAATGTCAGACCCTGTAACAAAGGGCAAATATCACAAGTGGCAGATCGAGAGGTTTAGATGGGTTGTTAGCAATTTTTTATCCCTGCAAGACGAAGTGGCCCTGGAGCAGGTGCCCAGAGGAGCGTGTGCATGCACGCCTGCCTGTTGGGCAGTATTCCCCAACCCCAGGAGTTTTTCAAGCCTTGGCTAGACAAAGTCAGGGCTGCCCGGCCCAGTTAGTGGTGACAGTCTGGCACCAAACGGGGGGGGACTACAGGCCTCCAGACACCCCTTCCTACCAACACTTCTGCAACACTTACAGGATGTCAAAGAGTTAGCACCTAATGCAACTCTGATCTACAAAAAAAAAATGTTTCTCAAAGGTCAGATGCACAATCTGAGAACTGTCCTGTGATAATTTTTCAAGAGTCAACAGAAGCGTTCAAAAAAGTAGAATGAAAATTACCCAAGTCTTCCTTAAAAAGGACAAAGCAGACAAGTCAAGAGGTACAGGTGGACTTACAAGAACAGACAAATAAAAGAGCTACATAAAGTCAAATATATGTAAGAAAAAATAAAAGATTAAAATACTTGCTAGTGACACAAAACTATTCAGAGAAATTTGAACATCAGTAGCGTTCAGTCAGAAAATCAACCTACATTTTTGCAGACAAAAAAGGTGATGTTTCCACTGTAGAGTATAAACCACGCACACAGTTTACAAAACTTCAGAGTAAATCTCATCCTAATTCACACATTCAGTAGAAAAATGTTTTCATAAAAAAGGTACAGAAACTGATCGGTCTACAAACATAAATTGCTGGTTTAAATTACAGAATAAAAGCAAGCCAGAACACTAATCCTTTCTCTTTGCACACAAGAAGGCCTTATACAGCCACATCCTGTGAGGATTTATTTCTCTCTTTGCAGATAGATCTGAGAGCACAGGGCTCAACGTCCAAGTCTTAGTTACAGAACCGAAAGAATTCAGCAGAGAACAGAAGCGTCCAGGAAGCATTCGTGCCCATATCTGAAATAAAGTTGGAGGACATACTTTCATTCCTCATCATCTTTAAGTTACAGCATAGACTCACAAAATAACGTCGGTTGCAAAGGAGCTGTGGAGGTCTCTGGCCCAGCCCTGCTGCTCCAAGCAAAGTCAACTAGATCAGCTTGCTCAGGGCCTTGCTGAGTTTTGAATCCCCCCAAGGAAGGAGATTCCACAACCTCTCTCAACCCTAATCTAATGCTTCGGCACCCTCACGGTGAAAAATTTCATCAGAGCTTCCCATGTTGCAACTGGGATCCACTGTCTCTTACCCAACACCATGGACCTTTGAGAAGGGTGTGAGTGTCTCTTCTCTATACCTTTCCGTTAGGTAGTAGAAGACAGCAACATGATGCCCCCTCAGCCACCTTCTCTCCATGCACAAGAAACCAAATTCTCCCAGTCTCTCCTCAAGCATCATGTGCTTCAGCCCTGTAATCATCTTGATGACACCCCCCTCCACTGGGTTCACTGCAGCACATTGATGTCTTTCTTGTACTGAGCAATCCAAAACTGTGCAGAATAGAGGGGAGTAATAATTTTCCTCAACCTACTGAATGCACTTGTGATAATATACCCAGTATGTGGCCGTATACACAAAACCTTTATATGTTTCAATAGATCAGAAAGCTTTAAAGGCCCTGTTGCAAGTATGTAGAGAAGTTCTTCAAAGCACTGACATTTATTTTAATAAAAGCCAATTAGCGGAAAGCTGGCATTCTGCCAAGTTTCCTAAAGGCCACAAAATTAACGGAATGACTACAGAATATGCAGCCTTGCAAAGATCATGGCCAAAATAACAGTAAACTTGTTGGTCTAAAGTAATCAACAGTGTAACAAAGAAAACTTTGCCTAAACACACTTGCATCGAGCAAAACAAACAAAAAAATCTTACAGAATACTTCAACTGAAATACCACAGCATACTAAGCATCTTGGACATTCAGGCGTTCAGTGGTTCATCCTCTTCAATGGGATTTGATGCAGAAATAACCACAACAAAGGTAAGAATGACCCTTCCTCTTCGCATGCTTATATAGAGTGCTAAAGCCCCTTCTGGAGTGTAAAATGCTAAAAATAATCTCTCTCTATTATGATACTTGCAGAAAACAGCTTCTTGGTTAAAAGCTTATTGACTTCATAGTGTCTGCACATAGAGAGCACAACAGGAAAAATCAAACTGAAAATGTGTTCCATAGTAGTGATATTGGAGATCTCCACATACTAGACAAATTTTAGAAAAACCACAAAGATCTACTACTAAAAACTCATAAGATCGTGTGTTGACTGTAGCAGACAAGTTATGTATATTCAGATTAAGCACATCCTGTGATTGTTTCAATACTGGATTAAGCAAGTGGCATCAAGTAGTTTAATGTCTAAATACCCAGGAAGGTGAATCTTACACTGTCAGTGTCTTTCCCATCCTTCTGTTGTATCCTGTCCCCCATAACTTTTGGGCTCTTGAATAATTTCAGCCAACTTCAAAAGAAAAGTAAAGAAGAAAATGAAATTTCCATACTTGTTAAGAATTTGGTGCTTCACAGACAGAAGGTGCAAAAGCTCGATGTGTATGGGAGCAATTCATGAGCTGTTCTCGCCCAGCTGGTACGCTGGATAAACCAGAGGCACAAGCTCAGAAACTTTAAGAAAGTTTGCTGATAAGAGGAAGAAAAAAATGACAGAATGGAGGGACACAGAGGTGACTGGTGCATGGGAAGGTCAAGGAAGGAGAAACCTATGATGCAAGTCTGCAGGTAGCCATGGGTCAGACATTCCACTTCCCAAAGAACACATTTTAATTTCCCTACTGCTGGCAGCTATTGTGTCATAGGGGAGATGACGACTAATACTGTATGAGATGACGGTTGTACAGTGGTTCTGGTTACTTCCACATGAAAACAGAGTAATTTATATTTAAACACAGAAAAGGCTCTTTAGACAATTGCCACAGAGCTAAATTTCTCAATATCAATGTGCCAGTCCCGAACAAAGCAGAAGGAATATGGGAATAAGGACAATTAAAATATTATTTGTGCTTTATTTCTTCACTGAAAGCAAATCACATTTAGCACACACAGAACATATTAGAAGAAATTCACCCTGCAGTTCTAATTCAGGCTGGGTTTTTTTGCTGGTGGTTGGGTTTCTTTTGTGGGTGGTGTGGTGGTTGTTTTTTTTTTTAAGACCATTAAAAAGCAAAAAACTCAAAACTTTATTTTTAACTTACCAAATATCAGTGCTAGCCCATGGGAAGTCCCCACTGCTATCAGATTTGACGCTGCCTGAAATAGTCATGCAGAAAGATTGAAAGCAAATGTCAGTCACAAATCCACCACTTAAACTCTCACTACACTCATGCAAAGTTGTCAAAAGGGGAAGATATAGAAGGTTACAGATATAACCATTTATAAGCAACAAGCAGTTCATACATGAAAGCTAGAGAAATATCACACCTGAACAACCATCACACAGGTTTTCTCAAGTTCAGAGGGCTGCCTTTTCCTCTGCTGTTTGAAATTCAAATGCTCAGAGTGGTACCCACAGTGAAATTTCTTCTCTGTAAAGTCAGCCTCATTCTTTTGGTGTAGTAGCCAAGTATAAATATTCCGAGGGTTTTTCTCACTCAGCTGCTACATCCACATCTGAACTCTTCTACAACCCTGGGTAGCACAGATTGTCCCCTGAAGAGACAGTTCACAGCAAGCCCAGAGACTCCCAACTTTCTTCCGTGGGGAATTAAACATAGCTCAAGATTCTATCACACTTGAAAACCTGCACCCAATTAAATGAAACCTAATAGAAATCACATACTGTCATAGATATATTAATGTTGTTCCACTTTTTATTTTTTAGCAAGTGTAAGTCAGATTAAAAAAACTAAGTGCTTTAATGTCTGGAGTATGTAAGTACAGGTTTTTATCCTATGTGCACATCAGTCACGGCATGCTTCCAATTTTGCTGCGCAATCTTTTGCCTTAGATGTGACCATGGGTTTTTGCCTTTTTCTTTTTTAAACAGAACGTGTAATTTCTTACGGATTGCTGCTACTACAGTCAAAGAAACCAAGCACATCTTTAGTTTCTTCATAAAACATTAAAACTCATTTCACAAGGGCAGAAAAAATACTTGATGTATTTCACCTCCTTAAAATGTTTCTCTCCTCCTTTAATTATTAGCAGTTTCACTTCTGACGTATTTAATTAGCATACTTGACTTCAAGAAGTTTAATGCAAATTGCTAAGCAGGAGTATCTTTCAGACACACTTTTAGTGAAATTTTGTATTTTAAGGTCATATTTCAGTTACATCAGAGCCATAGAGATTTTGAACCCATCACTTCAAGAGCACTTCAGTTTAAGTTTCTTTAAAAAATTATTAGGAGTCAAAGCAATAACTAGCAAAGAATAAATAGCTAGGGAAAGTCAATGTGTTCAACAGACGAACACTTACCTTACCGGGAAAGGTTAGGTGCTCAATTAGCAAGCCCTGATGATGACATGGAAAAGGGAACAGCGTGGGGCTTGATCAGCAGAGGGGCAGTTGGGCAGTTAAGAAAGGTTGAACTCTGCCCCCAGGAACTAGATCTTTCAAGCTGCTTCTCCCACCCCTCATATTTGAAAATTCTTAGTAAGGATAAGAAGGAAGATGCATTTATCAGCTGTCTTAAATTACTGCTTTAACAAACTTGCATGAAAACTAACTATACAGTACTTGAAAATTGTTAGAGTACTTACAATTGCAGTGGGCAAGCCAGCATCCACTTTGTCCTAGAAAAACAGTACAAGTCCTGAGTAAGAGAGACAGAACTCCCAGCTGCGTGCATGTCTCTAATGATTAGAACTACAGCAAGCAGAAAAACCAACACAAGTCACATTTTAGTAGTCCCACCAGGGCAGACAGTGCTGAGGGAACCACTGGCTAGAAATACCCAGAAGGGATGGGAAATCACACGGTAATGGAGAGAAAGCAGAATATCCTGTAATACCGTATGAAAGTTACTGTGTTCTTCTCAAAACAGCCTAATCTTAATAACAGTTTCCAGTATTCTCTGTGTACATGGCATAGACATCGACTGCAATGCTACTTCCCTCTCCCCTCTCGAGCAGACCTTACCAGCTTCCCATTCAGGTGGTTCACCCCCAGCCCCACCAGCACAAGTAACAGCTGGCAGCAGCACGCTAACACGGAGACTCTGGTCACGCAGCCATCATAAAACACTCGCAGACAAGTCACTTGTATTCTATTCTAACACACCTACCTTGCACCCTTCAGAAATCACAGACTTTATAAAGCACCACCTTAGTCCTGTGCTCGGGCAGTCAGTTTTCCCCCAGCAGGATGATGTACAAGCAGCAATATTGCACCTGTGCCTGAAGCACAGTCACAGATGCAGGAATGCGCAAACCTGCTCCTCGCTCAACTCGGAACAACGAGCGTGTTCGGTGCCTGCGGCAGGCGTTAAGCGAACCTGTTTCCAGCATCTTCAAGCAAGTAGAACAATAGCACTGCTATCGTTCTATGTTAACGTTTCCCACCAGGTTTAATGACATCTAGCAACACAAATCAGTATTAAAGAGGACCTACCATATTGCTGCTGTAATAAGTCAGCTAATACCCAATTCGTTACTGGCTAGGGATTACTAGTTAGTAGTTTATGTACCAAACATGTTAGTATTATCCAGAACTAATAGTAAGAAGAAGGAGAAGATCACATGCACACCCGCCTCACACCAGAAGAGGTTCAAATTTTTCTTAACAGATGCAACCAGGAGAAAAAGCCACTTACTGCCGCAGATACTATTTGGGCAGAAATTCCTTTCAGAAGTGAGAGCCTTATAACTGATCCATGGAGTGAGAGAGAATCTGGGAGTTTTTTCTTCCTAAGGAAATAAGAAATAAACCAAATGCATTAGAGCAGAACAAAAGTTTGGAACTTTGCCTAAGCCACAGCTAAACCAGCAGGTAAATTCTGCATGCACTCGTACCTCATGCAGTTTCCATTCTTGTTCTTGGGGCCTACGTGCACAGAACAAAACGGACATGAGATTATTAGCAAAGCCTCCCGTACACCACTGTGCCTGCATAAAATCTGTTTTTAACTCATGTCCCAGGGAAAAAAAAAAAAAAGAAAAAAAGAAAAAACTCTTCAAAAAAGTCTTCAAACAAACTGTCAGTTTCAAGCACATATCTGCAAACCTTAGAATTTTATTAATAAAGCCTGAAAGCAACACTTTTGCTCTTTAATTAAGCGTCCAGTGAGTCAGGAAGTTTCAGCCTTTAAAGGCGAGTATCTAAGGAAAATACACAATTGGAAAAGGCTCATTAGCAGAATAGAGACCCCTAGGAAAACTGGATGTGTGTTTAAAGAATAACACTCAACTAAAACACAGCTGATCTGATAAGAAAAGGTTAAGTGGTTCCCCTTATGGAGAATATACCTTTAAAAAGTAACCGGTGTACGGGGGACAGTTATTTCTAAAGAGCTTTAGTATACTGTAGCACACACACTAGAGGGAAAATCCCCAGGAAAGCTGCAATTTTGTTGCCAAGCACACACCACCAGAAAGCCAAATTTCCAAAACTAATACTTGGGTCTTATCTCTCCAGAGGTGCACAAACAAGTAGCTCAGATGTAGGCTGAAGAAACATGTTGTTAATAGCTTATATTATCGCTAAGGACCCATAAACATGGCAACCAGCTTAACCCAAAGATGACAATAACACTTCCAGGTTTTTCTGCCCACTCTGCACTGGAAAACGTTTAAGCCACTCCAGGTAGTATTTCCCTCAATACAAATCATCTTACTTGAAAACAGAAGGAACAGTAAGTCAGTACACCACCACAAACCATCACACTTCAGGGTGTTTATACCCTACACAATCGCTCATGCAACAATCACAACTTCTTATGGCACATAAGGCGGCCATGGGAGTGGCTCAGGAAGCAGAATCAGGCCATCATTTGAGTAATTAATGAGATAAGTCAACAGTATTATAGCTGATTATCATATTCCAGGCTGCTTTTAGATGTCAAGATTAGCATTCCATTTACAGAAGTGACAGCAGTTCACTTGCCTTTTAAAAATATCCGCCCGCTGCTTGCAGACTCTGAAAGTCATCAAACACACCTTTGACAGACTTCCTTTGAAGTTATCACGGTTCAGTATTTTAAAGATTCCATATTAAATACTCCGTCTCCCACAAAATGCCTTTATCACTCTAACAGGTTAGCCCTCAATGCAAAACCAAATGCCATCTTTGCCTACTTGATCCCACACGAATAACACCGTTTCGTCAAAAGCAGCTTCACCAGAGTCGCTGCAGCTTCCCCCCAGGACTTCAGCACCAGAATATAACAGCAGGAGACAAAGGTCACACGTCCACTTGAAGGGTTCCTATACAAGTAACGGACAAACTGCACGCTCACAGCAAAGCTCGGGGAGAAGGCAGCAGGAGGTTGCCTTAGGAAGCCTCAACTGTTCTTAGCTTTAGATTGTCCTTCTTCCTTACTCAAAAACGGAGAAATTGTTTTTAATGGATACAAGCAGTACTCCTTCAAAAACTCATTTAACCTCCCAGGGTATGAGTCCTGCAGTACCTTTTCAGGTGTGTCCGGTCCCCACTGTCAGAGCTTGCGACAGAAGATGTGTCGTAGGAGTGTGTATCCGTGTTATCAATGTTCAAGAGAAAGGGATCCTCCAAAATGAAAGACTCTTCTTCATCATCAGTCTGAAGGAAGAGAATCACCACAGCTTACTGAACGTTCACACAATGCCCTAACCGAAACATTAGCAAAACAGCATCAATTAAGCAGAAAAATCAAGATGGAAAGGAAAAGATAGTCTCATACGTAAAAGCCAGAACTACGTATTATTTTATTAGACTGATTCTGTGGAAGAACATTTTCCAGAATTCCCAATAATCACAGAAGTGGGCTGGAGAGAAAGTTATTCAACTCATCTTTCTTCCCCAGATACTATCTACTCCATCAAAACTTTAACAGACCTTTAACTAAGATGTTCTTAAAAGTCTCCAATTGCCAAGACTTGCCTAGAATTACTGTCATCCACTCCAGCACTTCACCCAGTGGTAGCTAAGAGTCTAGTGGTCCCTCTGGTTGCTATGAGAGTGGATTCTGCTCTTCTGCTGGTGATATCTCAATCTCTCTCCCCTCTTATGCTTAGCCTGGAATTTTTTTAATAGTATTTTTTGAACAGTCATTCTCCCTGATGTCTTCTAAATTCAGTACAGTTGATGTTGTTCTCAAAGCACAGAGCCAGAGAGAGCAAACACAATACCCCATCTAAGGCCAAACATGCAGAGAATACAGCAGGTGCTCCTCATTTGTCTTACAGCTGGCAGTTCTGGGCCATTAAGTGCCTCTTTTTCCAGCACAGCTGTACATCTTTTTAGCTCAGTCAGGTTGTTCTCCACTAAAATCCTTTTCAAAAAATGCTTTGCCAGTCATTCCCATCCCAAATGTATTGAGATAAATAGCACTGGAGTAAGACCTCGTGTTTGTCTGCACTGAACTACACTTTCCTCATGATTACCTCTCTGGATTCTACTCCTCTGAAGTGGATGTGACTGCATCTTCTTACAGTTTGGTATCACCCAAATTTAGTAAGTTCCCTCTGCTTTCATCACCCAAGGCATCAGGAGAAACAGGACACACCTCTGTACACTACCCCTTCTGCTATTTCTCCCGTTTCTAGACTGTGTCTGTTTGGGACACCTTATTCCTGTATCTTTAATAGAGCTTTTTAAAAAGAACTGTCACCTCTCCCATGCTCCTTTTCCCTTTATACTGACTTCCTAGGAAGTCCGACCACAATTTCCTCCGTTTGTTAAAAAGCTTGTTTTCTTGGAGTTTATCTTTACTTCCATACCCTTTTTTTCTTTCTAAGGATCGTGCACTTATGTGGCTATTGTAAAAAAATGCTCTGACCTGGATACAAGCAAGACAAAGTCAGTTCTTCCCTGCAAGGTACTACAGGCAACATCAGATGTCAAGACACTTCATTACTCCTGCCAGAGGGCTAAATACATGAAACATATAATATAAATGGAGTTGTGAAGAATCTAGTTCTCATCTCCTCCCACAACTTAAGAACTACCCAGAATTATCTGCATTTATTTTCAGCTTAAAAAAAAAAAGTTGTTTGATGACCCTGACCTTTAAAGGACTGTATAGTCTTCAGGTGACTCTCCAAATCCACAGGTGAACATGCTTAAATTTGACAGAAATCCTTTATGTTTCAGCTGTGAAACATATATTTTGACTAAAAAGCCAAAATTCCGTATTACACCCTGCACAGCAATTCCTCAACTGAACACGTGCTTTGTCAGCTATCAGTATCAGGAAATTTTGAAGTTACACAATTTTATTTCACAGGAAGAACACAATACGAGAAGAGCCAAAGGAGTATGTGCTGCCTTATCTTAGCTCCTCCCTGTATTAGAGCTGGTTGCATGTCTGACAGACCACTCACCTCATTTAAGATGCTCTCCAGTGTTGGAGGGGTATCAACTTGAGGAATGTCAAATTCTTTGTCATCGATCTGTACATCAGAAACCATAGACTAAGTTTACATTGCCTACTCCACCTTCCAAACTTTTTTCTAACTAAAGAAAAAAAAAAAAAGCAGCTATGCACGCACTCCTTCCAGCACATCTCTGCCCAGAAAGGCACCATATATGCCACAATTTCTCCTATTCAAAACACATTCTCTGAAATTTGGCACTGCAAGACAGAACAAGAGGTATTTAGTATCAAAAATATGAAGTAGTTCTCTGATCTGTGCCCAGATCCAAAATTTCAAATGCCTTTTTTTAATTTCTGAAGATCACTACCAGTGTTACACTGCCTAATACAGATAGACATCAATATACAAGATTTTTTTTTTCTGACTGCTTACTAAAGGGAAAAAACGTAGTTTTCTTAAAAATAAAGGTATTTTTATCTGAGACTTGCATTACCGCACACCGAGCTTTGCTATAGCAGAAGGCTAGCCCCAGCACTTGTGTCCCACCCACCCGCGTCCCTACGTGGGTCTGTCCCCACGCCCCCTCGCTGACCATTCCCAGGTCCCAGGGACTCAAACCCGCCTCACGACATGACTAAGGTCTGACACAGCGCCTGCCAGGACGCAGGATTGTTTTAAACTCTCGATTACCTGCTCCTCCAGCAATTGCACGGTGCGAGCGTGCCTGCTACCTGCATTTTGCCCGCCAGCAAGAACTGCACAGGTGTGAGCTCTTCGGGAAGAATTAACCACGGTGAAAGTTACTCGTACGACCTGTTTTCAGCATAGGGCAGCGCACCGGCGGGACAAACGCCACTGACCGAACTGACCGGAGAGCGGCGGG